TTTGTATACACGTAAATATTAATTTTTATACAAATAAATTTTGTGGTGGGGCAATGGGTTAAACATCTGAGCTGCTGAACTTGCTGACTGAAAGGTTGGCGGTTCGAATCCACGGGAAGGGATGAGCTCCTGGTGTTAGCCTCAGCTTCTGCCAAACTAGTAGTTCAAAAACATGCAAATGTGAGTAGATCAACATGTACATCTTTAGGAAGGTGATGGCGCTCCATGCAGTCATGCCGGCCACCTGACCTAGGAGGCGTCTAAAGACAACACAGCTTCTTTGGCTTCTGTGTTTGGTTGTTTCTAGGCATTGAATGTTTGCCTTTGTGTTTGTGCATGCTGTAATCCACCTTGAGTCCCCTCGGGGAAGTAGGACAAAATATAAAGTATTATTATTATTATTATTATTATTATTATTATTATTAGATTTGATGAAACACCATTATTTTTTAAATCTATTTCCTCTTAAAGGACTAAGCACCTAAAGGTATAAATCCCATCTGATCTTGGAAACTAAACAAGGCCAACTCTTTGGGTGCTGTAGGTTATATTTCAGAGAAAGAAACTGGCAAAACCCTTCTTGAGTATTACTTGCTTATGGAATTCATGAGGTCACCATAAGTCACGAAAGGCAACATTTCCATTTAAGGGGTGCATGCATACTCAATATTCCATTTCCTATAGTTGAAACTTAAACCTGGCCTTTCGACTTGCCCTTAAACTTAGTGAACATCAAAGGAACAGCATTTAATTAGATTCTAAAGAGTCAAATATTGAACAAGTTGCAGCCTAGTCATTTTAGTCAACATCAGCCATTAGCTGTTGTTGTTAATGTGGAGTAGAGTGTTATTTTCCCCCAGGAAGGCTACAGAGATTGTTTGTACTTCCACTATTGTCCGAGCAAAGACAGTTAAACATCTTGGACCAGGGATTTAGCTCAAAGCGAGAGGTAATTAAGAGATGCAAATCTGATTCTCTGAAGTAAAACATCTTGCATTTGCTTCCAAAGAAATGCAAATAGAGCTTGCAGAAGCCATTCATTAGCCTTTATTCCCTTTGCTTTTGACCCAGCAAATCATGATGGAGGGTTTAAGCGCCTGCTGGTTTTCAAAACCAAATCAACATATCCCCAACAAAAGCCCCCTCAAATTATACCAAAGTCCATAATATTGCTAGCACACAATAAACACACTGATCCTAATAAAAATATCACCAGACCAAGAATTTCCTTGCCTCATAAAATTAACAATACAGCGTCTTTTGTTTTTTGTATTTTAAATTATTGTGAATGAGAGTTACGTGTCTCCAAGTGTTATACACTCACAAGTATGTTGGGACTAGTTCAAGTTTCAGCAGTTTTAGTGAGCTTAACCTTTTTGGTCTACAGTCAGTTTATTACCTTTTGTCCAAAGTAAATATTGCTGGCAAAGTCCCAGAAGCATTCTCTCCTGACGTTTTGCCCACATCTATGGCAGGCATCCTCAGAGGTTGTCAGGCATGTTGGAAACTGGGCTATTCAATGCTAAGCAAGCTGGCCAACTGCAACATTCAAACAGACAACAGTTCTTTCTCCCACCCTGGACATTCTACTTCCCCAGTTTCCAATAGACTTCACAACCTCTGAGGATGCCTGCCATAGATGGTGGCAAAACATCAGGAGAGAATGCTTCTGAAACATGGCCATACAGCCCAGAAAACTCGGAGCAACCCAGTGACTCCAGCCATGAAAGTCTTTGACAACACATTGCTGGCAAAATTCTTATTTTCACAAATGACATACAACTTTATAACTTACTGGTCTTATAGACAGATACTTTTTTTTCTTTTTTGGTGTCAGAAACAACTTGAGAAACTGCAAGTCACTTCTGGTGTGTGAGAATTGGCCACCTGCAAGGATGTTGCCCAGGGGACACCCAGATGTTTTACCATCCTGTGGAAGGCTTCTCTCGTGTCCCCACACGAGAAGCTGGAACTGACACATGGGAGTTCACCCAGCTCCCCGGATTCAAACCGCTGACCTTTTGGTCAGCAGTCCTGCTGGCACAAGGGTTTAACCCATTGTGCCACCAGGGTCTCCTAAGACAGATAAATAAATAGATGTGAAGTTTATTTCCAAAAGATACCAAATTCATCTGAAAAATATGATACAGGAATTTTAAAAAAACATGCAGAAGATCTCTATTCTTTTGCTATAAAAGGCATTTTCTAAGTCTTGTACTGAAGTGATTTGTTCAATTTTGATAGTATTGATCTGTGTAGAATAATATTATATTCTTGGCCAACAATGTTCTCCCACCTATAACTCTTTTTTTTAATTTGGTACATTTGGAAACAATGTCCACATGTGTGCAGTATATCTGTAGATTTCCCACTATTTCTATTAATATTACGAGCACTATTATGAATTAATAGCAAGGACCACCACAACAACACTGTCTAAAAATGTTTGATTTGTCTTATGTATTTCATAAATATTTTTGGAAGTGAAAACATAGTAAAATAGCAATTTCCACATCGACAATATTGATATATTCCCTTTTTCAAACACGGAGCATTGACAAGCACATTTATACAGACTTGGGGCCCTTCCAGACAGGCCCTATACCCCAGTATCTGATCCCAGGTTTTCTGTTTTAAACTGGATTATATGAGTCCACACTGCCATATAATCTGGGATCAGATCCTGGGATATTGGGTCTGTCTACATGGGCTCCTGGATGCACAACATATTTTCTGAAATGACTGTGATGTTTTCAAGTGAAAGATGTAAGAGTTCAGTGTAATATTTTAAAATGTGGTGATAGATTCAACGTAAGAAACAGCCATAGGGCCACACACACTCGTTTTGAATCAGTTTTCCCAGTGACTTGCAAAGTAATGAAAACATTTTTAAAACCTAGCTAGAAAAATATTTCTGTCTTCCCAAGTTATTTAGATTTTTTTTCAGCTAACCAAATCTATTTGCATACTACACTCACCTCCCATTTGAAAGCAACACTGAACTGACCAACTAAAAAGAAACTCAATTTAACCAACACAGCTGTGAAAACATAAACAAAAGCAAAGATTGTGTAAAGCAAAGATTGTCTTTCTCTCCCATCTCATTCGCTGTATCTTAGCAGCAACAATGAACATCCCCTCTGTGGGGTACAGACCTGGCATTGTGCTGCTGTAAGATAAGGAATCTGCATAAGAGATTGCCTCTTCAGATTTCCATAAGAATCGGAGTTCACAGTCCTTTCCCCATGCATTTTCACAGCAGCTCATTAGGTATTAACTATCTGCCTATCTAATAGCCTCTGAAATTAAGGCCTCATCTCTCAAGGTGCAGAAAAACAGACAGTTTACACCCAGACAACATGACTAGCCTTATTTGTGTTTCCCAAATGTCCTGGATGCCCTTTTAAAGACACCAAATCACAGGCAGCTGCAAGGGCCATGGAAAACTAAACAAATGGTGCATGATCATAAAAATTAGGAGCATTCACCCACACACTATTGCAAAATTGACTGCAATACCAATGAAATCACACAAAGAGGAACACAATGCAATAAAAAAATAGTTGCCTCTATGTATTCTTTTTAGATACAATTTTATAGCTCTATTAAGAACTCTTGAGAGATCTCAATGGGACACAATCCCAAAAGCTGCACATTTCCACACTCACTAGAATAATAAAATAATAGACATGGAAGAGACCCCAAGGCCATCCAGTTCAACCCTCTGTTAATGACTGAATACACAATCAAAGCACCCCTGACAGATGGCCATCCAAGCCTCTACTTTAAAACCTCCAGAGAATGTTTTGAATGCTCACATTCCACTGCCAAACAGCTGTTACCAACAGTAAGTTCTTCCTAATGTTTAGGTGGAATCTTTTTTTCCTGCAGCTTGAATCCATTGCTCCATGTCCTATTCTCCAGAAGACAAGCTTGCCCCTCCTCAATGTGACCTCCTTTCAAATATTTAAACTTGCTATCATATCTTCCCTCAGCCTTCTTTTCTCCAAGCTAAACATACCCATCTTCCAAAGCTGTTTTTCATCTGACTTGGCTTCCAAACCTTTGACCATTTTGGTTGCCCTTCTCTGCTGAATTCCCTTTTTTTCCATGTCAGGAGCACCATAAGAAACTACAAGTCGCTTCTGGTGTGAGAGAATTCGGCCTATCAGCCCACCAGGACCCTAAGATCTTCTGGGGAGGCCCTGCTCTCTATCCCGCCTGCTTCACAGGTGCAGCTGGCGGGGACGAGAGACAGGGCCTTTTCTGTGGTGGCCCCTCGGCTATGGAACGCCCTTCCCATGGAGGTAAGATCAGCCCCCTCGCTGATGGTGTTCCGAAGAAGATCAAAAACCTGGATGTTCAAACAGGCATTTGGTTAATCGGTGCAATGAATGTGATGATTACAGGAATGGTAATATGGACGACGAAACTGGATCACGATTTTAGTCATGAGATGCATTGGGTTGTTATTGTTGTGTCAATATTGTGTATTATGCTTTTATGGTTTTAAATTGTATATTGCTGACTGTTGTACCTTTGTTGTAAACCGCGTTGAGTTGCCTGTTAGGCTGAGAAACTGCAGTATACAAGTAAAGTAAATAAATAAATAAATAAATTGGCCATCTGCAAGGACGTTTCCCAGGGGACGGCCAGATGTTTTGATGTTTTACCATCCTTGTGGGAGGTTTCTCTCATGTCCTTAGGAGAGAATGCTTCTGGAACATAGCTATACAGCCCGGAAAACTCACAGCAACCCAGTGGTTTTTTTTCATCTATCATTTTCCACTTTCACAGGCCTGCAGATACGGAGAGCTGGCTGTACATTCCCCAAATGATACAGTGGAGCTTACTCATTAATAGGAACAGAAATGGTAAAGTACCAAAAGGTGTTATATATGAACATTATATATTATTCTAATGGCTTTCCTTTTATGCAGTTTTTGCTAAAGGAATATTCTAGGAAAGTTACATTTTAAATAGGAAATTCTTCAACCAACCATCAGTAGTGCAAGACCCTTCTGGGGCAGGTTTTTGTGCATAAGGAATTGGTGGACTATTGGAATCGGAGGTATCCTCATCTTCTTCTTCATCATCCATTTCATTAATAGTTTGGGTAGTGGAAAAATCCAAGCTTCCATTCTGGGTGTAACGGTGCATGAGTTCTTTGTCCAGCTCCTCTACTTTTGGCTTCACGTCTGAAGTTCAAAAATGGAAATGTCAGGAGAAATGAAAACTTTTGTGCTTTCTTATTTTCAAAAAACATTGTGTGTGTAGCATAAGAAGGACATGAAAATATGCCATACTTGCTTGGTTACCTTCCGGCGGCTGGTCAGGATCAAGATAAAGTTGAGAGAAAATGGGCCGAGGAACGACAGTGTTACATCTTAAAGAGGCTTCTATTGAGTTGTGGAGAGCTTCTTCAAAACGGGCAGATTTCAGTTGCCCTGCATATGAATTCCCCATGGTCTGGAAAACAAGTTTAAAGGGTAGAGAAGAGAGAAAGGGTTAAATATAAAGACACACAGCCCTTCATTATTGGAAAAAAGAAGTGATGCATTAACAAACATTTTGCATCAAAACCACATGAGGGATAAAACATTAGCAGTGACCAAAGAAGTTATAAAAATAACATCTTGGAAAAGTACTGTTTGTTCTAGCATTCATTTAAGCCTGCCAGCTTGGTTTTCAGTGATGGGAGTTATTTACTGTCACTTAAAAGTACTCTAAAATATCTGTTTATAAATTAATGCCCCTTTTTAAAAAATCAAATTAAAAACCATCATTTCAGATTTCAATAGGGACAACATGAATTCAACAAAAACATAGGGCAAGCTTGTAGAAGACGTTCAAGGTTAAACAGTGCAAACATCTATTTTAGGAACCTCTTATGTTTTTGTTTTCCATCCTTAATATTTTGTAAGAATGATAGGAACTCTGTTTTGGCTGGACTGGCCGCCTGTTCAAACTCAAAGCACTACAGAAATGGCAAAGAAATGGAGGATAACAAGTTAATGTGTCCACGAAAATATGTGGTGACTGAGATCCAACATGCTCAAGCGTAATATAAGAGTTCAGTGTGTGGGCCATTGCTAGGGCTCCCTTGGCACCGTCCCAGTCCTCTCCATTATGCTGGGTTAGCCTCCCCCAGAGCCATTCCATTGCTGATGGAAAGCAAGGGAGTCAAAAAAGATGAGAACATCTTCTGTAAACATCTCTGGATATATTCTAAATATGAAAACTTACACTATTGCTGGGGAGTAGGACCATGCCACAAACTCAACCCTCAAACTCTTAACGCTTTCCATCATTTCCAAGCAGCCGATATGGATGGCAAGATGGAGAAAAACAACTTCCCTGGGAGCTGCAACATTTTGCAATAAGGTTCCTAGTTTCAGGGAAGTTTCACACATAGAAATCTACATATCTTGTAGGCGTTTTCTCTGACAACCACACCTAAGTATGGTTGTCAGAGCAAGAAGCAAGGAAGACTATCCAACCCTTAATATTATTGAATTAATTTCCAAATGTCCCAAATTCTGAGTATATAGTGGATATCTTGGAGGAATATGTATACCCTCTTCTCCCATCTACAGAAGTGGCGCCACTACTCTTCCCCAGTCACTGAATGGTTGTGGACTGTGGTCTGGAATTGGGAGATTGCTTTCTCCTTGGTGAGGTGGAGCATTGCCCCTAGATATGTCAGCGTATGTCACAAACAGGATTCCAGCCTTCATTTTCATTGTGACCAAGGTTAACAGCTACATTTGTGGTGTTTTGTGTGTATTATTTGCTGTCATTGCTTTATGGAAGCTGAGAAGGGGGTATAGCTAATGGATGGAAGAAAATATGATGGATGTACAGTTACTACATGGTACCTCAGCAGACTGGACTGGCGGAGCTTTGTCTTGTCCACATAATGCAAACAGAAGCAAGAACTAAAATTCTCTTCCCTCACCTGAATGTATTTCCTGACACTGATAGCCAAATGATATATAAATAGGCTTTTTTCATAGTCAATGTTTGTTAGTGACAGATGAGAATGGGATCATGCACTGCCACCTGGAAACTCCATTGTGTCCAATCACAAAGCACTGTTTCTGAAGGGGAGGATGCACCTGTTGTAAACAGATGGGCAGGATGTTGTGACTAGAAAGAAGCAAAATCAGGATTGGAATATGGCTCAATTGCATTGGTTTCAGCAAAGTAGTGCATCAACCGTGGTTTAGCCTGATGATGCAAATTATCAAACAAGCACCAGGAAAGAAAACAAGAAATACATTTTCCTTCTGTTTTAAGCACTTCCACATCATAAGATGCTTTTCCTATTCAACTGGTACTCAGCATGAAGAATCAATATCTATCTATCTATCTATCTATCTATCTATCTATCTATCTATCTATCTATCTATCTATCTATCTATTCACAACACACAAACATTTTTGAACCTTGACACACACCATCTGAAATGTATTTCACCCCTGCCTGGAATATTATCTGGAATGCTACCTCTGAAAAGATATATGAACACACGATGTGAGCATCTAACGTTAACCAAAATTTAATGGACAAAGCCCACCATAAGAACACAAAATGAGCTTTATGGGATCAAAGCAAAGTATTGCCTAGAACGGAGTTTCTTAAACTTTTATACTCATGTGTATTTTTGACTCTGGGTGTATCGGTACATAAAATACATATAAAAATCAAACAATACTGATAACAAATCAGTATTTCCAAAGCTTGCTAAACAGGCTGATTTTTATGATGTAAAGCTGAAGCATCTTCTGCAGAGTCCACTGTTAACAATGCACAACAAATCTGTGCAAATGTCTAAAAGCAGCTACTAGGTGACAATCAGAAAAATTCTACTGTTGCCAAATTTTTCATTAATCCAACACTGAGCTAAGGGGACCCCATTAGGGACTGGAACCCACAGTTTAAGAAGCAGTGTTTTAGAGTAGCAGTTCTTGAACTATCTGAGGAGAGGGGCAGCCAGGGATTTTCTCCCCCAATATGCTAGGGACTGTCACCATTTGTACCCATGGACTACAACCGTTTCTTACAACTATGCATTTTAACCTTTATTCATACACATATACACATTGTATTGCCAAAGGCTTTCATGGCTGGAATCACTAGGTTGTTGTGTATTTTCCAGGCTGTATGGTTATGTTCCAGAAGCATTCTCTCCTGACGTTTCACCTGCATCTATGGCAGGCATCCTCAATGCACATACACATTTATTTATTTATTTACTATATTTATATACCGCCTTTCTCACCTCAAGGGGGGACTCAAGGCCGTTTACAATATGTTAAAGGCAAAAATTCAATGCCAACATATATAGTCAGAAAAAATCATAATAACTAAACACTAACAGATAACTATAAATTAAAATCATTAAAACCATTAAACATAAGACATAAACAACATTTAAGCATTTAAAAAGCATGAGAAACACCCTAGCATAAATATTAAAATCACATGATCAAAAAAATCACACACACATATATGCATACATACATGGGATTTTGATGTAAAAAGCAAATGTATAAAACAAAATAATAATACAAAATATAACAAAGAAAGCAATAAAAAGAAAGAAAACAAGGAACAGCAAAACAGAAGGATTTATTTCCCTTCTCTCTCACCCACCTTCTTTAGAATCTAAACTTTTTTACAATGAGATCTTTCCCCCCAACCTAAATCATACATAATTCAGTAGACCTCTTCCCATTTTAGCTGACACTGCTAAAACATTAAAATTGCTGGTAAGGCAAGGCAAGATTCAGCGACAAAGCACTTCTCGGTGAGGAAAAGGAATTTTGTATTCTGCAAAGTTAACTTGCCAAAACTAATTAAAACATTAATCCAAAATCTAGGAAGAATCTATCTATCTATCTATTTATCTACAAAAAACAACATTTAAGAAACACCTACCCCCAAATATATTGTATTCAAAAAGCTTGTATTTCTGAATCCGTGTTATGTTTCAAGTTCAATCAAGGACAGAGTTTGCAGAACATCTTTCCTTTGTTTGTAATTTGCAAAATCTGAAGATATAACCTACTGCATGGGTAATAGATCTTTTATTTAAGAGAATCCTGAGGCTAACTAAGCTTTTGCAACATCAGTGGGGAAGATCATTTACTAGAAAGTGTTTCTACTGTTGAGTGAAGTATACGGTGCGTATTCCAAGAAAATGCTGTAACTGTAAACCACATGCAGATTTCCCAACTTTCTTCCCAGTTCCCATGGCGAATCCCACTTATATCCACACTATGCACAATATTAGATAATATAATGAGGGCATTCTTTTCCTCCCCTCCGCCTCTTGCATCACAGAAACTTCACATGGAGTCTCATGGTCTAACGCAGGCATGGGGAAACTTCAGCCCTCCATGTGTTTTGAACTTCAACTTCCACAATTCCTAACAGCCTATGCCTTAGAGTTGTAATGCATTGGAAATTACATGAAAACATATAACAATAACAACAAATATGATAATGATGGAATGTCTTCTGTTCTTAAATGCTATGTGCACTATATATTTGTACTGTGGAACCAAGGGCTACGTTTGTGAAACATAGTATGGATGAATGAAAATCTGAAACTTGATTATTAAATCATTTGGTCTTAGTTTTGTTGTTTGTCCCTATTTGAGTAGACCTACTGAATCAATGGTTGACTGTTGAGTCCACACATGGACAAATACCATCAATTCAATGGGTCTTCTCTAATAGGAACTAACAATAGGATTCAGACCTAAGTATTTTATTTTAACACGGTTTGCCTTTTCTTCTAGGACAGTGTTTCTCAACCTTCTTAATGCCGTGACCCCTTAATACAGTTCCTCATGTTGTGGTGACCCCCAACCATAAAATTATTTTAGTTGCTACTTCATAACAGTAATTTTGCTCCTGTTAAGAATCTTAACGTAAATATCTGATATGCAGAATGTATTTTCATTCACTGGACCAATTTGGCAAAAATACTGATATGCCTAAATTTGAATACTGATCGGGTTGGGGGGATTTATTGTAGAGTTGTAGTTGCTGGGATTTATAGTCAACCTACATTCAAAGAGCATTCTGAACTCCACCAAGGATGGAATTGAACCAAGCTCCACACACAGAACTCCCATGACCATCAGAAAATACTGGAAGGGTTTGGTGGGCACTGGCCTTGAGTTTTGGTGTTGTAGTTCACCTACATCCAGGGAGCACTGTGGACTCAAACAATGATGGATCTGGACCAAATTTGGAACAAATACTCAATATGACCAAATGTGAACACTGGTGGCATTTGGGGGAAAATAGACCTTGATATTTGGGAGTTGTAGTTGCTGGGATTTATAGTTCACCTACAATTAAAGAGCATTCTGAACCCCATCAACGATGGAATTGAACCAATCTTGGCACACAGAACCCCCATGACCAACAGAAAATACTGTGTTTTCTGATG